AATCAGACTGCAATTTTCGCCACGACTGCCTTGCGTGCTGTTAAGAGATTGTCGAAAAATATGAAAGCATAAAAGTATAACCATCACAACATATAGCTTGTTTTCTTTTCATAACCATCACAACATTTAAACAGTTTTATTTCATGATAGAAGTGATTTAACATATAAACTGCTTAGACACTTTGTATAACATCGTCACTTGAGCCTTATACAGTGCTTCTGGTTCTAACAGGACCAAACCAGTTACAACCTGTTACATTCTGTTGCTAACTCTGGTACAAGATGTCTCCTGTATGTGTGACGCATGTGATTAGGGGAGGTACTAGCCTCAGAGTAGCATAAAAGAAGCAGAAAAACTGTGAGATTCAGCTTTTTCCCCATCTCTAGAGACTGGGATAGACTTCTTTAATAGACCCTTAGGGGTCATACCCCCTCAGAGGTGGAATAGAAGACCCTTCTGCTGTCTTACCCCCTCAGAGGTGGAAGAAAAGACCCTTTGTGCGTTATCAGAAGACAGCATGAAGAAAAAAGAAAAAAACTCACAGCGAGAGCTGACTGAGAGAGCCTGTTAATAGTAGGAGGGTCAGCTTTAGCTTTTGTAGCACTGAGACTGTTTCATTGAATTGAAATTGTTCTACGTGATTGCTTTGGAAAAACTTTAATAAAACAACAGCCTTATCCAAACTACAGACTCTGTTTTTTTAGAACAATTTGACCCTCTTCCCCTGTCCGTTAACCGTGTGATACAGAAGTGACGACTGACTCTACCAGAGGAACTTAAAGGCGAGTACCCTGGGTGAAGACTTGGCAGTGTTAGTCCCAGTGAGTGACAGTGACACTGGACGAAGAGTGGAATGAAAACTGTGTGGACACTTGTCAGACTGATGTTGGGTCTCTGGGAACAGTAACAGTCCAACGTGCAACACTGTTTACGATGACATCACCCAAATGAGTCTATTACAGGGCCTGAGTCCAGCCATAATGTCCCTTCAGTTTAGACACATTTCAGTCAGTCAATCACAGCTGCCTCGTGAAAGAGCACAAGCTGCAGTCATTCAGGAATCATCCACTATCCAACCATGGACTTACACCCAGAGCCAGCCCTAGGCTTAGGTGGGATAGGTGAATGCTAGTGGCACCATCCATCCAAAGGAGGGGAGAAGAAACAATTCAAACTGTTACAAAAAAAGCCCACATCATAACTATGTCATCCAATAAATAGGCCATTTTTCTGTGTTGCTCAACGTATCACTCTATAAAATAGAGCTAAAAAAATAGCTGGAGCAATGTCAGTTACTCAGCATGTGCAGTCTGCTGGCAAACAGACAGGCTTCAAACTTGTGCACCACAGCACAACCTTTAAAGGTGTTAAGGTGTACAAAGAGCCCAGTCAGCCCTTCTTCAGTAATATCAGCTAAACCTGCAGATAAGTGGGCAGTGAACCGAGTAAACAGCGGTCACATGTACGGACCAGTTTTCAATTACCTTGCGGTTAACCCCGCCAAGAGGTCTCCGTCACTGCACAGCACAGCAGCTCATCCCTCTGTTTCACCCTGCCTTCCTGACTCTGGTCTGAGTCCTTTAGCATACGACTGGTATCCATGTATTTTCAACATTTCTCAAAAAGATGAGCACTTGAGTGGGTCCATCACACGGCAGTCACAATCGTTTCCAGAAAAGCATCAATATATTTGTACACACCTGTAGAGTCTATACATCTATCGACCATAAGCCAATCGCCAGTCAAAGGCACATTCATCAACTTTTCCCACTATTTCTTCCCAACACTCATTTATTAGAACTTTAACAACCTATCCTCGTACAACGGTTCACATGATAGCTTATCTCGTGCTTTTCTCTACAGAAGTCTGGCAACACGTGTCAACTTCCGCTCTTTCATGCATACAGTCTTTTCAAGATTACCTTCCATCTTCACAGAAAACAATTCAGTGAGAAAAAGATGGTGAAATATTAAGTTAAGTATTAAGTCTCGTTTCACAAAAGGCACAAAGGGCAGTATCTGACCTACCCGCCCTGTGGGGGTTTTAAGGTCTTTATTTGTCCTGGTTCATGATTACGTGGATAATATACAAATATATTTTTCTGGGATATCTATGAATTACAGTATTAAGTATAGCTCTGAACACTGTATGACAACAGCCTGCCTTTAATTGTGTCTCCTACTAGTGTTTTACATTTAGTTCCCTGTTCAGGTTATTTCATTTCATCCTTTATACTTAAACTGGTTATAAACTATTCAATGTAACTGCTAAATCCTTATTCATTAGACTATGAGGATGACCCATGATGGTTTACAGGTCTGGGGATGTATGATGACCTAAAAGCTGCTGTGGAAAGCTGCCAATGTGATTGACATGTTGATATGTTATAAGTGGTAAAACACAACTCCTGTGATTACATCTGCCTCAAAAAGTGTGCACATGGATATGTTTTTGCATAAACAGGATTTGAGTCTTAATCCCACAGAGACACACATCCCCTAAATAACACAACACATCTGAAGGCTTTCATGAACCGGGTACAGATGAGTCACATCACTCGGTGCCAGGGACAGACATCGTGGACATTTATAGAGACATTTTCAGGGTCAAAATGTAACTCACAGAGCACGATGCCTGGATGAGTCAGCGGTGGGCTGTGCATTCTAAAACATTCCCTTTGCATCTCTTCTTCTCCATTCCTTCCACAGACTTGAACAGAACAGTAGCTCGTCAAAGGGAGATATGGCACACTGAGGCTCATTCTCTCTATTTCCTCGTCAAAATTCACATAATCACTCTAATATCAAAATGTCCTGGCTGGTTCCTGCACAGACACCTGTCAGTCATCATCAGGGAACATCATCTTCACAGACAGAGCACTGATTATGTCTTCCTGCAGCGGCATTGTGCCAAAGGGGGCAGGACTCATGCCGTCTGGAAAAGCGCGTTGTTACTTTACTGGCGAACTAGGCGCTCGCATTAGAACAAAAATACAACTTGGTAATACTAACTGACTTACAGTGGGATGCTTTTTTAAAACCCTATACAAAATGTCAGTTATCCGGTGAGAACTAGACACACATAGGGACAGTGTCTAAGGAATGCTGCACCTCCAACACAGACACTTCTAAATAAAAGTACAACAAATATTTCAGAAACAGTCACAGTTATCACAAAGTTTTACAAAATAAGATAAGAACATTAAACACTACAATACAGGGGAGAAATGCAAAACAGCTTTTATTAAATTACTATGAAAATAAAACAAACAAAAACTACCTTATGCCAAACTTTGTATTGATTTCTCTCAGATTCTTCGGAGATTATCAATCTAGAAAACCTCTTTTTATACGAAGGATATTGATATCAACATTTCAAACGTTTGTTGTTGTATTGTTGTCTTGTGGACAGACCTGACAAACCATGAAGTAACCCTTTTTACAAATCAGCTTCATTATGGAGTTATTCCGGAAACCTTTTTAGTCATTTATTGCAATGATATCACAGCAAAATCTGTTTATCTGGGTTTCACAGCGCTGCAGCAAAGCAGTCGACGTGTGGCTCATTAGATTCAGTGACAACAGCTGCAGTCTCCGGATGATGTTATGAACCCAGACACAACAGGGTTTTTGGTTGTCAGACAAAGCAGCTATAGTGGTTCATTGGGCAGCGGTTGATATATGTACATGGAGGTAAGCCTGTTCCCTCACGAATAAACACAAATGATCCTGCATGAGTAATGAGAGGTGAAAATCTGCTTCATATTTGATGTGAACATAGCATAAGACCAATGTAGCGGAGAAAAAACGACAATATCCCCTCAGAAATGTAGTTAGGTGGAAGTAGAAAGTAACAGCCAAAGTACACGTATTTGACCTTTTTCCTGAAGTATAGTACTTGGGAACAAAGACATCATCAACATCAACATATTTCCACCTGGTGGTAGTATGAGCATATGTTATGATGACATGTTATGTCACTCGACACACACTTATAAATCGAATGCATATAATCCCCAGAACAAATACAACCAACTCTTTGAACTAGCGAGCTGCATATACCTGAACGTACTGAATAACTCCATAGTCAAACTAATTGCTCACTCTCCCCTGCCTCGTTAAACTCCCTTTTCCTCTCACTCACACACACACACACACACACACACACACACACACACACACACACACACACACACACAGGGTCTATCCCTCGACTCCCTCGTCTCTCCTCTCCCTTTGTGTCTCATTTTCCAGCCTTCAGTCGGGTGTTTAACAGAGAGCTCTGGGGATGTTTTGTGGATAATGTGGAAGAGTAAATGCAATAGGGAGATGATGATGAGAAGTGCAGGGCTGTCTGTGAGCCTCTTTCTCTCTGTCTGCTTGTTGAGCTTGAAATACAGTTTGTCACACTGAGGGTGAATAAAAAGTGCAACTTGGCACAAAAATACTGGAACTGAGAGACGAAGCATTTTCAGCACGTGGGTCCTATTGGAGATAGGTATTTAACCTCAATACGTCTTTTCAATGTCTGATACTCCTGTTGTTAATCACTGTCTTACTTCTGTTTGCCTCTAGGTTTGGATCAATAGTTGCAATAATTTGGATAAATATTGTTTTGGTAGAAACCGGGGTATTTGTTAGGCCTGTATCAGAAAAAAGTCAAACAATAGCCAGCCCTGAGTCCTAGTAGTCTGCAGTCCATCAGACACACTCCATGAAACAATTCCATACCATTGTGACAACACAGACACACAATTGAATGTTCATACACTGCATCCTCTAAATGATGTACGTTTTTGATGCACTTCTAGCAAGTATATGACAACAGTGTATAGGTCTTTACAGAAACATATACTGTATACTGTAGTAATGGTCACTATAACTAAAAATGACTAAAAAGATGTTTACCATATATTAAAACTATGTCAAGAGACGACAGAGGGAGCAGAAGGGAGTAACATCTACCCACATTCAGGAGCAGAGAGGGAGCAGGACTAACCTGTCTGATGGTCCGGGCCACCAGGCTCTCCAGTACTGGTCCTCGGTCTTCATGGAGGAGGTGAACTTCATCCAAGATTAGGAGACGCACAATCTGGGAGAGAGCCACATCTCCAACACTCTTCCTGGTCACGACATCCCACTTCTCTGGAGTCGTCACCAACATCTGGGAACACATGGAGACATGAGGAACAGGGTGCTGGTTTTCTAACAGCAGTTAGGGATTAAATAAAAGAACAGAGAATTCACAACAGAAAAAAAGACAGCAATGAAAAGAGGAACACGTGATCATATCATGTTAATGTGTTTCTGTTGCATTGATTTAGTTGTGGTGTCCAGTTATACCTGGGTTTACAGGGTCTCTGTGAATGTTACCTTATTCATCACTGGCCAGCAGTACTTTTGTCATTGAAAAGCAGTAAATCCCCATTCATTTGTTATAGTAAGCTCTTCTGTTCATGTGTTAGGTTTCAATGCTTCCTGCTATTTCATGTGAAGTCACATATAGTGTTATATACAGCGGGTAAAATAAGTATTGAACACGTCACCATTTTTCTCAGTAAATATATTTCTAAAGGTCCTATTGACATAAAATTTTCACCAGATGTCGGTAACAACCCAATTAATCCATACATACAAAGAAATGCAAACAAATAAGTTCAGAAATTAAGTTGTGTGTAAAAAAATTGGAATGACACAGGGAAAAAGTATTGAACACGCTTACTGGAATATATTTAATACTTGGTACAAAAGCCTTTGCTGGTAATGACAGCTTCCTGTATGGAGAAACTAGGCGCATGCATTGCTCAGGTGTGATTTTGGCCCATTCTTCCACACAAACAGTCTTCAAATCTTCAAGGTTTCGTGGGCCTCTTCTATGAACTCTGATCTTTAGTTCTTTCCATCGATTTTCTATTGGATTCAAGTCAGTTGATCGTCTGGGCCATTCTAGCAGCTTTATTTTATTTCTCTGAAACCAGTTGAGCACTTTGGGGCCATAATCCGGGAGTGGAAAGAACATCATTTCACCATAAACCGGCCACGACCAGGTTCTCCTCGCAAGATTTCTGACAGAGGAGTGAAAAGAATTATCAGAAGAGTTGTCCAAGAGCCAAGGACCACTTGTGGAGAGCTTCAGAAACACCTGGAATTAGCAGGTACAATAGTTTCAAAGAAAACAATAAGTAATGCACTCAACCGCCGTAGCCTGTATGCACGCTCACCACGCAAGGCTCCATTGCTGAAGAAAAAGCATGTTGAAGCTCATTTAAAGAATAGAGTCTGGTCAGATGAGACCAAAATTGAACTCTTTGGATGCCATAATACACACCATGTTTGGAGGTCAAATGGCACTGCACATCGTCCCAAAAACACCAAACCAACAGTGACGTTTGGAGGTGGGAACATCATGTGTGGGGCTGTTTCTCAGCAGACGGCACTGCCAAACTTCATATGATTGAAGGAAGGATGAATGGAAAAATGTTCTTGATAAAACTCTGCTCCCATCTACCAGGATGATGAAGATGAAACGAGGGTGGACATTTCACACAGCCAAGGAAACGCTCAACTGGTTTCAGAAAAATAAAATAAAGCCGCTAGAATGGCCCAGACGTTCAGCTGACTTGAATCCAATAGAAATTCTACAGAAAGAACTAAAGATCAGAGTTCACAGAAGAGGCCCACGGAACCTTGAAGATTTGAAGACTGTTTGTGTGGAAGAATGGGCCAAAATCACACCTGAGCAATGCATGCGCCTAGTTTCTCCATACAGGAAGCTGTCATTACCAGCAAAGGCTTTTGTACCAAGTATTAACTAAATTCCAGTAAGCGTGTTCAATACTTTTTCCCTGTGTCATTCCATTTTATTACACATAACTTAATTTCTGAACATATCTGTTAGGATTTCTTTGTATGTATGGATTAATTGGGTTGTTACCGACATCTGGTGAAAATTTCATGTCAATAGCACATTTAGAAATATATTTACTGAGAAAAATGGTGACGTGTTCAATACTTATTTTACCCGCTGTATATATATATATATATATATATATAAAAAACTATATACAAATATAGTTATATATCTACTGTATATATTGTGGCAGGTTTCTGTTGGCTCTGTGCTCTGCATCCACATTAAATGACCCCCAATAGTGAGTGGAGTTCATCCCTCAATATGAATGTGACCTTTTCTCAGAGGTTGAGCTGAAAGTCAGCAACCTCATAGTTATTGTTCCATTTAATTTGTCATATTTTTGTAAATAATAAATTGACAGTTTCGGACATTTTATCACATCAGATCAAAAAACAATAATGTAATGTACTGAAGACGAGCATTTAGGCCTTTCCCATCATGTACCGTCCACGGGACATAGGAAGTGTGTCTGCAGCATGCCCATGGTTTTACACCATCAGTAATCTCACAGCAGATACTCTGCCTGTTACAGCCTGTTATCAGACAAGTTACATCACTTTGTTGCTATTATACAAGTAAAACCTCATGAATTTGTCATCTGGATTATTTTCCAAATCTCCTTCAACTACCTGAGCACAAGCCTTTCACTAATGTATCACTAGATCAACTCCCATCTTTCAGCTTTTCAAACTGAAACACAGCTTGAAAGACGAGAGCATGTATTAGGCAGGGAGGATCCAAATAAAAGGAAACACATCAAAGCACCTTGATGGTCACACAGTCTTCATTTGTCATATTACTTGGTTTCTGAATGTTCACAAGGTGGGTCTTATCCAATATGAGCCTCTCAGAGAGGACAGAAGAGAAAGGAAAGAAGACCCATGCAAGAAAGTTGACATTCTGCAAAGCCTTGTGGAAGGTCATTCTGCTGAGACCATGATGGATAGTGAAAGATTACCATCATCCCTTCAGTAATTCTTTTAGTTTCTGTCTATTTATTAACGGTCATGAACTGAAATCAATGTGAGCCATCTGTGTGCAGTTAAGCTGCAGAGGCTATAGTAACACAAAGAGGGAATTTAGTTCTAATAAGAGTTGACTTCTTAAAACTTGTTATGTCTTAAGCAGACGGCTGAAGACTCATATCTACTTCAACTGAACTTAAGAATGCATTTTATCACAGGCTGAGGGATGTGGACTCAGCCTTGCATCTCTTACACTGAGTTTGCTTTAAGAAGGGATTTCTTTGTGACAAGTATGTACAAGGGGGCCAAATACAAAGACAAATAACACGTTCAATGTACTTGTGAGAATGCTGTTATTGGTTTAAGGCTCGGAAAAGGTCACCCTATCCTTTCAGGGTTCCAACTCTTTTCCAGGACATTTTCAGCGATCACACCACACACTAATTTGTTCCTCTCTGTGGAAGTCTGATTTAAAAGAAGTACAGTCTGTGGCTATAACTTATCTATGAGATCATCTCTTACAAATGATGATCTGAATGAAACTGATAATGCAAACACACCTGCAGATGTAAAGCACTTCACTTTATTGTGACGCTACGACTACAAAGGTTTTGGTCCATTTAACAATGCAGTATAGTGTTTGAAGAGACAATGCTACATAGCTAAGTAAAAAAGTACCGTTAGCCAGTATATTTAGCTGGTGATTTGGGCTCCCACTCATTGTTTTGACCCAGGCTTCCTATTCATTACTATCCAACTCTCTCAAACACCCAACACACATCTGACTATTGCTCCTAGCCAGAGGTGAACCACAAACCTTAAACCTTTGCAGGCTAAACAAGCTAGCACACCAACTTCAGCAACTGAACGAAACATGCTCACGAACCTAACTTTATTCAACTGTTTAAAACAAGTTGGGAGAAAGCAACAGGGTTGTGTTCCATAACATAGCTTATTGAAAATAATCAGGTCTTCAGGAGCATGGATGGATTGATAGATGATAGATGGATGATAGATGGCTGGTAGATAGATGGATGATAGATGGATGATAGATGGATGGATGGATCGATGGATGGATGATAGATGGATGGATGGATGGATGGATGATAGATGGATGGTAGATGGATGATAGATGGATGGATGATAGATGGATGGATGGATAGATGAATGGATAGATGGATGGATGTAGATGGATGATAGATGGATGGTAGATGGATGGTAGATGGATGATAGATGGATGATAGATGGATGATAGATGGATGGATGGATGATAGATGGATGCATGATAGATGATAGATGGATGGATAGATGAATGGATAGATGGATGGATGATAGATGGTAGATGGATGGATGGATGATAGATGGATGGATAGATGGATGGATGGATGATAGATGGATGATAGATGGATGATAGATGGATGGATGATAGATGGATGGTAGATGGATGGATGATAGATGGATGATAGATGGATGATAGATGGATGATAGATGGATGGATAGATGAATGAATAGATGGATGGATGATAGATGGATGGATGATACATGAATGGATGATAGATGGATGATAGATGGATGGATAGATGAATGGATAGATGGATGGATAGATGATCTACTGTATTTGCAATGTTTTGGCATCCCTCTCAGACTAATTATATTCAACAGTATCAACACATCTCATCTGTTTAAAATGTCAACAGAAACCATCTCCACACTCTGCTTAGTGTCTATAATTCTAGTGAAATTTTATTCTGTCTTTTTAAAAAAAACACTACAATGCATAATTAATGGTGTGTGAACAGTTTGGCAACCTGTCTGTGTGTGTGCACATTCCAATTAAACCCTTTCTGTAAAAGCAGTTCATTAAAACCTCTCTAGTTTGCATTTAAATCAATCTATCCAGCCATTAGAGGCTGGCGTACTCACAGAAAAGGAAGCGTCCGCTCCTAATTGGAACTACTGGTTAATCTAAATGGAGGCTCTGGCAAATGGAGCACAGGCCAAAGTGCCTTCTTAATTGGCTCACAAATACGCACAAGGAGGTGCAGAGAAAGCATGCCATTGTTTGGCTGAATGGTGTTATTTAGCCCATTTATCCGTCTATCGCAGCAGGACTGAAATCAATCATCTAAATCCACTGATTTTTAGCATTTAATTTAAGATGGTGATGTTTCTTAAAGGTGACAATTCAATCAGAGAATGGGTTCATAAACCTGTACAGAAAAACAGCATAACGGCCTGTAAGAACTGCTCTTTTCAATAATTAATCACTAAATTGACAATGGAAAC